GGATATTTTTAACTTGTTTCATCATTCTCGATAGCATGCTCGTGATTCTTTGACACGTGACTTTTGGTTTTCGCTGATGAATATCTATGATTGTTGTGTTGCATTCTTCGATGATGATCATGTTGCATATTCGTTCGCATAATGTTGATTGTTCGTTTTTGATCTTACTGGATATGTGTCACATGCTCATGTTTGTTTCCGATTTTGCCAGCATGATTGCTCGAGATGATTAATTGGTGTTGAATATGCATGATATTCTTGGTGAACCCTTAATGTTGCAATCATGTTGAACTTGTTTGTGCTTATTTGTTGATGCATGTTCATAATTGATCCTCACTATGTCATACACATTTGTTGAATTATTGATGCTTACATGCTGTCTGACCTTTCCCACCTGTTGTTCTAGATTTTAACATGCTACTAATTGTGCATCCGTTCTACCTGCTGCTTTTTGCACCTGTTATATGCTGAAACATGAGTTGTTAAATGTTGTTTTTCTTACTTTCTGGGTTTTTACTATTTTTATGAAGCTGAAGCACTGTCGTTCCTGCTTATTTTGGCTTGTTTTCCTCATTTTGGTTTGCTCTTGCATGCTCCCTTAAGGCCTCCTAGTCCAACTTAATTTTTGAGTAAGCTTGGAGTAGGATAGACATTATGAGTTAATCTGTGCATGATAATATTAGGCTAGTCCCTTTTCAACCTCAACCATAGGTCCATTTTTGCATGCTAACATTAGGATAGAACTTCCTTTTGCGTCCCGACCTTAGGACCATTTTGCATGACAATGTTAGTATCGAGTTTCCCCTTAGACCTTCCACACATCTCTTTCTCTTCTCTCTCAAAACAACATCAAAAAAACTTAATAAATACGATGTGCATTGTGCGCCACGTGCCTTAAGCACATGGGAAAAGATGAGCAAATGAATTTCTAATCTCATCTTAGGGTACTTTGTGCGTGAGACGCTTGGATCGTTAGCACAAAGTATTCGATCGTATGTCATAGACTTTAGTGCAATGATATTCCAAATAAAGTCAATTCACTTCTCTAAAAATCACAAAAAAGTTCAAATCATTTTCATCCTTCGGGATCGTTTATCAAACCATTTTTCAGAAAGATTACGTTATTTCTCTGTTCTACCGCAAACAGGCATCGACCCTAACTGCTAAAATGAGAACTTAACATCTCTCATAAAAACTCGTATCGACTCGTACGTCGAACTACGATTGCTCTAACTTCTTCATTCTCGTCCGCATGAAGATACATAGGCACAAGACGGTGATGTCTTGGCGAGCAACCTTCTCCTTTCATCCGTAGTCTTCCGAACTACGTTGACTATGACTTTTCCATTGCACGAGGGAATACATAGGCATAGGACGGCGAAGTGCTATCGAGTCTCCTTTTTCTTTTTCCTTTCTCGTTTATGTTTAGCAATAGGCTTTAAATAACAAACCATTTGATTAGGCAACAAGCGTGGATCCCATTGAGTACAACAGATGCAAGGGGATGCTGATACCTTCCTCTCGCGTAATCGACTCCCGAACCCAGGATTTGGTTGCAATGACCATGTCTTCTTCCTTCTTTGAGGTTTTCTTCGATCATTTCCTTTCCCCCGTAGGGATAAATAACGTTTGGTGGTGAATCTTCTATTTTTTTCTGCCGGGTGTTTTTCGCAGTTGCGACATTAAGAAATGGTGATGTGACCTCTTCAATCTGTTAAATCCTTTGGTCGATACCTATTACTTCAAAAGGTGTTGTGAACATTTCCATTATCCGGTGGACAATGCTTCTAACCAAAAACATTATCCAACATCACTCTTAGCATACTTCTTCACTAAGCTTTATGTTATATTTAAACCCTCCAACGAATCTTTCTCTACCTCTATAAAAGGAAGTTGAAGATTTGAAGGAAGTTTACAACAGTACAATGCATTATAAGATCTTTGAAATAACTATGAGCCATTATTTTTGTAACTGCTATTGCATAAGATCTTAAGATTTCTTATTTTAGTATATCTTAGAAATCTTAAGAGGTTAAGAACCTTTGTGATTATCGCACAACTGTTATACTTCTGATTATGCATCAAAGTATAATAGTTACCTTTTTTACTAAACTATCTGTTTAAAATAGAATAAGTCTTACTCTTGCCCGCGTTCTTGAGCGTTGAAGTATCTTGTATGTGTACTTGAGCAGTGAAGTCTCTTTCTAGGTTGATTGAGCATAAGTCTCTTGCAAGGCTTCTTGAGCAGAAGTATCTTTCTAGGTTGATTGAGCATTGAAGTCTCTTGTAAGTATGCTTGAGCTTTATAATCTGTTTGGTTATAGTGAAAATATCTTGTTAAGACAAGGGGACTAGACTACTCTCAATTGAGTATAGGAACTAGGATAATCTTTGTGTGTTGCTTGCTTTTCCTTTTGATCACTTTATTTCTACTGTTGTTACTTGTTATGATATCAGACTCTGAGCGTGGTTTCTAATTATGAAGTTCTATCATCAGAAGCAAAACATTTTTTGGCATACACAATTCAATCCCCAGTCTTGTGTATTTTTTTCACCTGCATACTCTCTTTGTTAGCCATTACAATGGAGTTGAAAGGTGTATGATATGTGTAAGGAGGCAGAAAGATACTTGAGAAGAAAAAATGGTTCAAAAGAGCATAATAATAAATGAGACCAAAGGCATAGTGGATCAAGAGTTACAAGCCCCAAATCAGTGAGACGACAAGAAAATCAAGGGTCATCGAAGTGGGTTAGAAAGTTAAATCACGAAAGGGTTGCAAATTATAGGAACAATGAGGACAAAAAGTTATTATGAAAGCCATTTTGTCTTTATATAAGAAAGGATAATCCAAGTAAAAAATGACACATGTGGAAAGGAAATGGGAAGATGAAAAGCAAAAACTAGATCACGCCTTAGAAATACCACGACACTCAAGTACACTCAGTAAACCTAGGTAAAGTGGCACACTCTGACCTGCTAGTATAGGGCCACACATTTAAAATCCTCATAAAACGCCTCAAAGATGAGAAATGCATTTAATGCACATGTTCCCCATTCCTCATCGGTCGGCCACGTCAAATCTCTTTTACGGGCAACTTTGCAACATTAGGTAAATATAGATTCTAGAAGACTTCTCGTTCAACACTTCATAACAAGACTTGGGGGAAACTGTTATGGGTCGGCCAAATGCCCAATGGGGGGAGACCAATTTATTACTCCAAAGAGGACCAATAACTAGTGAATCCAAAAGTAGAAATACTTCTAAATGCGTAAGACCTAATGTATGCACATACTTTCCATACTTCACCCTACCCCTTTTGGACTCATTAATTGACTTAAGCATTGGAGTGATAACCTTTCATGTTCACCACTATGATCAGATGCATCAGATACTTGTAACACCACATCACGAGTCAAACATCCTAATTCAAGCATAATTCTAAGTTTCAATCCAGAATATTTTTAAAATCCTATATAAGATATTCTCACAACCAATGTTTTAGAAAATAACATTTTACTACGAAAACGTCAAAAAAAAAACAATATTGGAAGGTGTTAATCCCATTATTCACTGTTTTTATACTAAGAAAAAAATTTACATAACAAAATTTGTTACGACCACGATAAAAAACCATTATAGTTGCAAAATGTTGTTACTACACTATTACAAGCAAAATTTTAGAATCAAATTATGAAAGTTCAAATCACAAAAATATTTTTCATAAATATTGTGATTAATTCACACCTCGACAATCACAATCAATAAAACAACACACATATCGACTTAAATTGTTAAAACTTCTGCGTGACTGCAACACAATCATGACCTTAAAACTTTGCTCACATCCAACACTAAAGCTTGTATAAATAAATAATTAAACATTAATAAAATTGAATTTAATGATTTAATTCAAACCATCCTTAAATAAGATTAGATCAAATAGAGTGAACATTTTATAAAAAAACGATTCGAATCGAATAGTAAAATCTAATTCGCTTTTAACAGATTTAAATCCACTGTTGTGTTTTATCTGTTGCTACCATTCAACCATTATCTTAGCCATTTATTCATATTCTTTTTCACTTCAAAACAATATTTTTAATCTAATTAGTTTTTATTAATTCTCAACATTTGATGAAGCATGAGAGAAATGGCCGAAGAAAAAGGCAAAAGATTATTTATTTTACTTTTTAACTCAACCTATTAACCAGTCATTTTTTTAGTTTTACTTTTATTTTGTGTATTTTCACTTTTCATTTTAACCTTTGAAATCACTTCTTAAATAATTTCGAAAGAGACATAATATGTGCAATGTAGACAAATCCTCTCGTCATCACCATGTTCATCATGTCTACTACACATTAGAAGTATTTGTGGTTCAAAAACTGTAGTGAATCAAACCATTTTAATGGTTCGATCCAATTTTTAATAATCATTTTAACAAAAATATAGATAATCGTTAAAACAATTTAGATCAATTTAAAATTAGTTTATAGTTATAAACTGGCTTATAATTGGTTTGTATTTATAATTCAATTTTATATTTTGAGCTCTTTTAAAAATTATTATTTTTTCAATTATTTTATTTTAAAATAAATAAATAAAAATATTTTTCTGTTTTGAAAAGATAAATTTAAATACAATTCAATAAAATATATAATTTAGTTACCTACACACGTGACAACAAAAGATTATATGTAACGTGTAAACATATTACATACCAAATTTTCAGCTTTTCGGTGTGCGCCCCCACTTTGTGTGTATTAGAATACCACCGAACCCAACACGGTTCTATCCATGGCGCATTAACCTTTTACAAACAAACAAAACAAAACAAGGTGCCCCCACCCACAAGAAAAATGTGTTGCATTATTCATGCTTCCAAACTCATCCTTATCCAACCTCTTTTCCTATAAATAATTTTTCAATTCTTTAGCTTTTTGGTCAAGCCAGAAAACACAACCATTCTCATTATTTTCACATTATTGTTCAACAAGTATGTCTGACATTGCTATGTTAGTTGCCGAGGAGTACGAGAGAAGAGTCAAGAGTTTAAAAACCACCGCCGCTGCTTCCGATGGTGGTGCTGTAAAAACATGGGAGATTGACATGTCTTGTTTTTCACTATTGGTTTCGAAGATGAAGGAGGAGAAGAAGCAACTTGTTCGGTGTATATTGGAACCCAAAACACAGTTTGCTGTTGCTGCTTCTAACAGCTTCTTTTCTGCTTGATCAAACAACTTGTTCTACTCTGCAGCGTGTTTGATTCTGTAATTTCTTTTTTCTTGTCTTCTATTTTTATGAAGTCTTGTGTACATAGTTATGTTTGGAATTTGAATCTGAATTAAAGGTAATTGTTGTAAGAGAGGTCCGTTAATCACTTGTTTATATTTTGGATTTTCAGATAGATACGACTCTAATTTCAATTATTGTGATTGAGTTACAAATTTTGAACTTGAGACTTAAATCAAAATTGATATCAAGAATTAACTTTTTATTAAATCGGTTTGCAAACTTGGTAATGACAGTCACATTAATTTTTAGAGGGATAAGTGGATAGGTATGGAATCCCTGCATAATTTGTTTACATGTATGCATTCTCGTACCCCTATAGACAAACTCAAAGTAAGTGACATGAGTAGCTGGGTTGACAATGTTTAGAAGTGGGACTTAGGAATAGACCCGCCTATTTTGGATGAGAAAGAAGTATTGTACATCGAAGGACTGTTAAATATCCTTTACTTTGTTCGTCCTCGGCATAATTTAGAAGATTCTTTCATCTAGTGAAAGGATGTGCAAGTTATGATAGACTTGTTTACTTTTCTGAATCAGGTCCAGATGTAGATGATCTTATCCCAGGCGTGTTGAAAATGTTAGAACACACAGTTAATACGCAACAAGATTGTAATTGCAAGATGAAAGAAATAGCGCGCGCACACACTAATATTTTGACATCTTGAAAGACATCTTGGAGGAGAAGAAGAGAGAGAATAGAGATGATTCTCATTGATTTATTTTTCACATTACAAACTGTTATTTATATGTGTTACACAATAGCTTGCTAAACAAGTCATCAATACACAAAGTAACTAACTAACTAACTTGTACACAAGACAGTTATGGATTAACATTCAACACTCCTCCTTAATTCATAATTGTTGAACACTCATAACACCAAGTTTCTTTGTCAAAAACTCAAATTTGTCAAGCTTTAGAGTCTTTGTAAAACCATCTGCCAGCTGCATTTCAGTTGGACAATATTGCACTTCAATCATTCTATTCTTCACTTGCTCTCTAATGAAATGAAATCTTGTATCAATATGTTTACTTCTGTCATGTGAGATTGGATTTTAGCAAGGCTAATAGCTGACTTGTTATCAATTATGAGTATCAGGGGCTTCATCACTTCACATCTCAGTTCTTTCATCATTGAATCCAACCACATTGCTTGACAAGTTACAAATGTTCATGCAATATGTTCTGCCTCAAAAGATGAAAGTGCAGTCACTGGTTGCTTCTTTGCACACCATGATATAACTGCCTCATTGAACTTGAAAACATATCCAAAGGTACTTCTTCTATCTATGATGTCTTCACACTAATCATTATCTGGGTATCCAATGAGTTCACTTCTTTCACCTTTGCTTCCATTTGGGAATAACAAAACAAACTCTTTTGTTCCTTTTATATACCTAAGTATCCTTTTAGCAGCTATCAAGTGAGTCTTTCTTGGACCATGCATGAACTTGCTAATCACACCGACTGAGTAGCAAATGCCAGGTCTGTTGTTGCACAAGTATCTCAATGAACCAACCATCTGTCTGAACAATGTTGGATTAACTCTTTCTTCCTCACTGCACTCATCCACTTTTGAGTTTGTCTGTGATGAATTTAAAATTGAATTGCAGCTATTCATTTCAAATTTCTCAAGCAGTTCATCTACATGCTTCTGCTGGTGCATAACTGTTCCATTCTTCACCTTGAGAAACTCCATTCCTAAGAAGAATGAGAGTTTCCCTAGATCAGTCATTTCAAATTCAGATTTTAACTTGTTTTTCAAATTTTCAATCTCTGATGTCTTGCTTCCTATAATGAGCAAGTCATCCACATATAGACAAATTATCATAGTCTCTTCTTCACTTGAACTCTGCGCATACACACTAAACTCTGTTGAACACTTTTTGAAACCTATTTGTATCATAAACTAATCAATCCTCTTGTTCCAGGCTCTAGGGGCCTGCTTCAAACCATACAAAGCCTTATGGAGTCTATACACCATGTTCTCCTTGCCTTGCACTTCAAAACCAGGAGGCGGTGGCACAAACACTACCTCTTCAAGTGGACCATTTAGAAAGGTTGTTTTCATATCTAAATGTTAAAGTGACCACCTTCTCTTGCAAGCTAGAGCCACAACTAACCTTACAGTTTCAAGCCTTGTAACTGGAGCAAACACCTCATTGTAATCAACCCCATGTTTTTATAAGAAGCCTCTAGCCACCTACCTTGCCTTATACTTTAAATTTTCCCCTTCGGGATTTAATTTTAGTTTGAACACCCACTCCACATCTATTTTCTTTTTCTTATCTGGCAAGTTAAATAGCTCTCAGGTCTTATTCTTCTCAATTGAATGGAGCTCTTCCATCATAGCTTTTTCCATACCCCTGAACGAGAAGGTTGTCGGTGGTTTCAAAAAGATTGGGGAGTGATGTCAAATTCGCCGTTAATAAATTGACCACTTGTTCCATATTGGTAGTAGGAGGGAGTGGAAACTACGCACTTCGAAACAAAGAACTTAGTTGTTCTTCGATTTCATGATTCAATATATGGGCAATGTGGTGTTTGTTCTGGGGAGATGCATTCGGTGAATGCTGAAGGTAAGTAATAATTTCCCCCAATACTCTGCAGAATCGTTCCATTCGAATTTTAAAAACCAATTTATTATTCCTTACTCTTCTATCTTCAATGCTTCTTTTTAATTGAGAGTTTCAACATATGCCAATAATGCAAAGTGAATGATATCACCTTCATCATTTACTGCATTATCAAGAATTACTTCAAAAGAATTCAACCTTCTTGGAGCTTGTCTGATTCTTTGAGGTCTCACAACTGCTTCCTCTTCTTCTGGTTCATCTGTATCATTATTGTTCACTTCTTCATTATCTGATTCATCACTGGAATCAGGATAAATGCAGATTTGTTGATTCTCTTTACTGTATATTGGCTTTTCTTCCCATTTCCACCTATCAGCCTCATTCACAATCACATATCTACTGACATGTACCTTTTGAGTTAGAGGATTATACAACTTATAGGAATCTGTTGGATGATAGCCCATAAGTATCATAATCTCACTCTTATCTTCAAGCTTGCTTCTTCTAACATCTGGTACATGTTTGTAGCACAAAGAGCCAAAAACCTTGAAGTGCTCCACACTAGGCTTTCTTCCACACCAAGCTTCCTCTAGTACCTTCAAAACCAGCTTCTTTGTAGGACATTTATTCAGAATGTAAGTAGTTGTAGTGACTTCTTCACCCCCAAGACTTATGTGGTAGGTTTTTCTGCTTGAGCATGCTTCTTCCCATATTCAATAGAGTTTTATTCCTTTTCTCAGCAAGTCCATTATGCTGAGGTGTATAGGGAGCTGTTACCTCATGTATAATGCCTTGATTGAGACAGAAGGCTTCAAATTCTGTTGAGGTGTATTCTCCTTCACCATCAGTTCTCAAGACCTTAATAGATTTATCGCTCTCATTTTCTATTAAGATTTTAAATTTTTTTGACTACATCTAAAGCCTCACTCTTAAGCTTGATTGTATACATCCATATCATTCTTGTACATTCATCAATAAATGTGATGAAGTATTTGCTTCTCCCTAACGAAGATACTTCAAAAGGACCACATATATCAGAGTGAACCACCTGCAGTGCTACACTAGCTCTTTTAGGTGCTTCAGAAACAAAGGAAAACATACTTTGCTTGCTCTTTACACATACTTCATAAATGGCTTTTCTGACATTCAGTTTTGGCAAGCCATACACCAGTTCTTTAGAATTCAAATCACTAAGACTTCTAAAGTTTAGGTGACCATACCTCTTGTGCCATAGATCTTGAACATCTGCACACACTGCTGCAGACAGACACATCATCTTTTCACTTTAGATGTTGCATCTATATGTTCTATTATTTGACATGTTTAATTTAAGCATCAAATTCTTCTCTGCATCAAACAACTTTAAAGAGTCACCATCCAGAGTCACTGAGAATCCCTTCTCCACCATGTTGCGGTGAGAATCGTAATACCAAGCTATTGATTAACTTAAATCTAAATTCTTAAATTCACAACCGGTCTTTAATTTATCCAAAGGAAAGGTCTAAAGAAAGAAAAACCCTTTTCGCGATGTAACAACAATGCTAAGAGATTCGGGGATCGGGGGTTGGTTATGCCTAGGGTAGGTATTTCACATCCTAAACATCTGCAGTACTCTACAGGAACCTTTTGTTTATTTATTTGCATGCTAAGTTTGGTAAATGTTTGTTATGGATTGGGATTGGGTAAAGGGTGTAGGGTGATAGGTTTCTAAGTTTGCTCGCAAAGACATCACGTCCTCTGCCTACGTATCCTTACTAGGATAGAATCAGAGCAATCGTAGTTCACCTCACTAGGGATGAAGAACACTTGATTATGATCAAGGTTCAAAGGGGAACAAACATATCCATGCTTGTGTAGAGTTTCACGAAACTCTCTAGATCTATGTTGAACTCTCAAGAAAGGGAAGTAAGTAATCATTTCCATGATTCTTACATAGAGTTAACCAAACTCTATCCTAAAGTTCTACGTTGTGAGACCAATTGGTTCTATCCAGACCAAAATGTGGGAGAAAGGGAAAGGTTGCTCGTCAAGATATCGCATCTTGTGCCTACGTATTCTCATTGTCCAATGAGAAATTAGAGCGGTCGTAGTTTAGGCACGAACTACAGAAAAAGGATCTATTGGTTCTTTCCAGACTAAAAGAGGGTGAAGGTTCTATCCAGACCTATGAGTTTAAATCCTATTGGTTCTATCCAGACCAATAGGGGAGAAGGTTTTATCCAGACCTATGAGCTTATATCCTATTGGTTCTATCCAGACCAAAAGGGGGAGAAGGTTCTATCCAGACCTATGAGTTTAATGAGCTATCTATGACCCAATGGTCAATAGAGAGACTTTCCTTTGGAAGGGAAAAGATGACGC